TTACATGTGCCATTTCCTGGATGCTACTGTGGCCTAGTTAGTTCCCAACCAAACCCACCTTCCTGGAGTTGATGGCCCCACAGTTAAAGGGCTATGTATGCAAGACTGAACATTTTAAAAACATGTCGTTTTCTGTAGCTACTGGGCCAATCTGTGGCTTTCCCATTTCTCGCCTTCCTGTCTCTATGCTGATAGGGACATTCTCCTTTCTGTCTTATCCTCTTCAAACTCAGTGCTGTCCTGGGGGCATGCATATAATATCATTTAACTATCAGGTAATATGATTCGTGTTGCAAGATGTGTGAAAATCGTTCCTAATACTATAATCAAAATTTATCTGTGCAGGTAATTACAAATACCACCTGTTATTCACTTTAGCAAAATACAGATTACTCTTATTTTAACAGGCATTTGTGTAATTGGCATCTCTGTTTTTACTTCCTTCTGCTCTTTTGGTGGTATCCAGTTTAATTCCAGAGCTCAGCTTCATTCCCAGAGAAGCAAGGTCCTTTCTTCTGAGCCCTGGTCAGCAGTCAAAACTGTTCTTTCAGTGACACAGTTCTAGCTCATCAAGTTCTTTGGATTCCATTCTGTGTGTGTTTCCTTTCCTGGTCCTTGTTCAGAGTGAAAAATACAGTAAATATTTCCCTAGTCTCTCTTAATATCTTTTCCATCACTGCCTTTTATTTTCTTGTTCTCTGAATTCTGTTCCTAAAAGCTCCTAAGTTCTTATTTTTTCTGTAACAGACTCTCAGAGTGCTTCCTACCCGCAATCCTTGTCTCCCCAAGAATTACCATCTAGACTTTATGATGACTCATCTTGGCTTACAGGTGAGTCACTTTTGCCAAGCCTAGATTTATTTCCCTGTTGTTTCTTTCAGTTCAAATATTAGCATAAACATTAACATTTCTATACCCGGTTACGATTATCATGCTTCCCATCAGACATTAACACAACCCTTCCTCCTAGCTTGGTGAGCAGTGTCTCAGAATCTATAGTTATTCAAGTGGCTGAGATTAATGACCACTTCTTTAAAAGAAAACACCGCGAGTTTATTTTAGCTATAAATACTAGATGATCTGTAGAATTAACAGCAAATAAATCATTTCATTTTGAAGTGTGGGAGACAAGAAAAATCTTTTCTTTTTGTTTTTTGAAATGTCGCATTGCTTTGCACAGTGTCAGAATGTCTCTTGTTTTCTATGCATGTCTGATTATTTTAACTGTATGGTCATTAACTGAGATTTTGATGAGCAGATAGCAGAAGGACCTTCATTTTATGAGACTCTTTTCAGATTCTTGACCTTAGGTGAAATGCAAATACTACTACTGAGGTGAATAATCTCTGAATTGTGAAGTAGAATATATTTTATCTTTGTTTATTGGCCTTACTTTATGGGCAGATGGAGTAGGTGAAAACCCTGAGAGCTTTCTGCTTCTACTTCAAATTGCCTAGCAAACTACTTGAGAGACAGCTCAGGTGGGAATGTGGCATGAAATTGTGATTTCACCCCACTCTGGAGATCTTTAGACGTTAGTTGGGAAAAACAAATGAAAAGTGGACACTTCACAAAATTCAACTCTTTTTGTCTATCTCCAGAATAAATAAAGGTATATGAGAGTGGAGCCTCATTATCTTCATAAATTGAGATATTTAAACTCTCAGTGAAGGAGAAACAGAAAGATATCTTACTGAGAAACCATATTTGACCTCTTGTAGATATTATTTTACTAATCTGTGCTTTGAGAATAAGTTGTATATCTAAATGATCATAAAATCTTTATATTTAAATTTTGTTTTCTGGAGCTTAACATAAATTACAGTGCCCAGCACATAGTACATGCTTCATAGATGCATATTGCATGAATGAAGGGGCAAAGCTTTGTTTTGCCTTCACAAAGATGTTTGCAAAAGATGACTTGGGGAATTTTTGCCTTTTCTTCAGGCAACACATTTTCCCATAAAGTGTTTCTTATCTCTCAGAATTATATTACAATCATAATGGAAAAGAATGATCCATTTTTTAATTCTTTCCTTGGCTGAGCTGAGCCTTGGAATTTTATAACTAATGAAATACAGTGCTTTTCTTCTCAAGTTCAAATGTAGCGCTTGGATTTTCATTTTTCGTTCATGGATGTAAAACCGTTCTTTTGTCAAAAATCAAAGGTTAATAAGCTCTAATTGTTAAACACAGTCAGTAGAAGCTGTGATATGCTGATATTCTAATGCTTTGACTATTTCAAATGGTCATCATTTGATGTTTTGTGACATCTGGACTGCTCAGCAAGCTACTCAAGAATTTCATGTTAAAAGAACTGGAGGTTTTTAAAAACATTTTATTTTGAATCAACTTTCAACTTAGAGAAAAGTTGTAAAAATAGTACAGAGTTCCCATAAACCCCTTAGTCAGCGTCTCCTAAGGTTATCATTTACATAACTGCTCTGATCTGAATATGTCCCCTCCAGATTCATGTGTTGAAATTCCAGGGCCCAATGTGATGGTGTTAGGAGGTGGGGTCATTGTGAGGTGCTTAGGTTGTGAAGGTGGAGCACTCATGAATGGGATTAGTGCTCTTACAAAAGAGACCTGACGAGCTCCCTAGCCCCTTCTGCCATCTGAGGACACAGTGGGAAGATGGCCATCCATGAACCAGGAAGCACTACCAAACGCTGAATCTGCGGTGCCATGATCTCAGACTTTCAGCCTCCTGAACTGTGGGAAATAAATTTCTGTTGTTTCTAAGCCACCTAGTCTCTAATATTTTGCTCTAGCAGCCAGAACAGACCAGGACAATAACTTTGTTCAGGTCTCAAAATCTGGAAATTAGTGTCGGTGTAATAGCATTAACTCAATTCTGCATTGCAGATCTTGTTCACATTTCACCAGTTTTTCCACAATGTACTGAGGATGTTTTAAACTGTGGAGTAACTTATAGGCATATCTGTATAAGATTGATAATTTTTACCATTATTTACTTTTTAAAAACAGTAATGATTGAACTTTGAGCAGCCTCTTTTAAAACATGATGCTGAGAATGAGGTTCCTTTTTTTCTTATCCTGAAGTCCATATTTGGATGCTAGCCTATGAGGAAAGGAATATAATTACTATTTTAGGAAATCATTAAATGTTAGTGATATTAACATTTTATTTGTATCCCCATTTAAGTGATCTTTTTCAAAGCATCGTGAATTCTGTATTTCAAAGTGGTTGTGGATATAGAATCAAGTTAAATATTCTAGGTTGACATTTAGGTCTGTACTGCTAAGAAAGTTAGATACTTCCTCAGTCTCATAGCTCATAGTAACCACTGTTCTTCTAGTAGAAGAGACTAAGTAGTAAAATGTAAATGTTCCAGACTAATGCAGGACTGAGAAGAACTTTAAGTATAGCTAGCCAATCCTGATAGAGGAAAATTTGGATTATTTGTAAAAGACCAACAACCCATTACGTGGAGAAATTTGTCTTCATGCCTAATTGTGTGCTGCAGCATAAATTAAATCCCTCAGTTTGTCAACAGCAGTTAATAGATTTTCAGCTCATTGAGGGCAGGTTTGTTTCTTACTTAGCTTTACATGCTTCAGCTGAGCACCGTATCTGACACGTACAGACACAATAAATGTCTGTTTACCTGAGGGAGGTTGTAATGTAGAGGAAAAGTGAGAGATTTAGAGGCCTGCTCTGTTACCTTCCAGTTTGTAGGCCTAGTCCCTAACTATTTTAAGGTCATTTCCAGTACACTCCTCATTCTCACCCAGTCATTATACTACTAGCTGTTGGCCCAAGATGCTCAGCATTTCATGTGTTTGTGTCCCTGCTTATGTGCTTATCGAGGCCTTGTTTATCTGTTTATGAATAATGAGCAATTTTAAATAGCCTATGCCAAGTGAATTGTATAGATAGTAAAGTTTTAAAGTCAGTCTTTCAAATAGTTATCAAGAAGGCAATGAAAAGAATTACTTTGGTAATCCTATATAGGCATTATTAGCTTCATAATATTGTTTTGAGAAAATTTGAATTTTTGGCTACCAAGGATTTTTTTGATTTGAATTTTAAAGTTCAGATTAGCACTGGAAATAGTGCTTTTGTTACTTAATTTTTTTCTTTGAATCATATATGTGGTAATTTTAATTTTGTAAATGTGTGAGAAAAAGCCAGGCTGACATCAAAAGACTTCATGAATCAAAAATCTAGAATGTACTTTTAAAAAATTTATTTTGGTACCTGATCCTTTAAGTGTTTCTAGCCATGAGGTCTAAATAATGTCTGGAAGTCAGAATGCCCTGAGTTTAGGATTTGGCTCTGGCAATTACTGGCCATGTGACATTGGCACGTTCCTTGGTCTCTTGAAAATCGGAGATACTGAATAGTACTTACATCATCACTGTTAAGATTAGTGAGGTAATATATCTAAAGCACACAGCACAGTGTTTGGTTCATAATAAGGACTTAATGAATATTAATTATTATAATTCTTGAAAGAATGTGCTTTAGGATTTTAAACTACAGTATATCATATGATATTTTGAAAAAGTATTTAGGATAAATTAGCAGAAGTATCATTGCTGAGTAATTAGAAGTTACATTATTAAAACTCTTATCACTTAATTTTGGTATATGTTTGTTATTGTCATTTTAGATAAAGGAGAGATTTGTTAATTTAATTTTGAATGAATTTAGAGATTATCATAATATATAAGTGGTTATCAAAATATGGTCAGATAGTCAGGCAACCATACCAGTGCTAGGAGGGATTAAAGAGAAGTAGAGAGATGGGAATAAATTAGGAGTGATATGACAATAAAAAGAGAAGAAAACTATAAAATAATGGTGACTTTAATAAATTTTCCTCTTACTACCATAGTAATAAAAATACTCCCATAGAGGCATTTTTATTTTACTAGGCTCCTAGAGTAAGACTGTTGTTAAATTCAACAAAGTAAAAATTCAAATGAGATGATGCATGCAAATATGCCTAAAGACATTTAACCAAATAGAGCTTTGTTTTTTTCGTACAGTAATAAATCCAGAGGTGAGTAGTCCAAAACTAGGGTAGTGGGCTCATGACAATAGTAAGACTCGAAACTTCTTTTGCTTTCTGGTCCATTAGTCTTATCTTCTGTCATATGTGTCCTCGTGGTCACAATGTGGATGCTTCACTTTCAGCCCCATACATTCCAGGCATTCATATCAACCATCTGAGGGAGGAGAAAAAGTTGCTGGGAGGGGTTGGAACCAGTATTGGGAGAGGACAACTTTCCTAGGGCCACCCCTCTCTACAACAGTGTCTCAGGAAGCAAGTAATTTTTGAATAAGCACATTCCTACCCTGAACAAAATTAAAATTCTGTTATTTTGGAAAAGGGAGATGAATGGTAAGCAATCAGTACTGCCTTCAGAAGCTCTTAGCACAATTCTTGGCACATGGTGAGTTTTCTGTATCTGTTAACCATTCTACTGTTGTTGTTATTGTTACTAGATTGCATTTGAGTTTTTATAGATCATCAAAATTAGTCCCAGTTTGATTTAAATGAAACAGTACTTAGTAGAACTCTCAAATATTGTAAATATTCCAAATGTTGCAGCCTTTCCCTATCATTTCTGAATTTGTAATCTGGGGTTAATTGCATAAGTTATCAGGAAATCGTTAATAAGAGAGATTTTTTTTCCCATTTATTTAAGCCTCCATTCCCGGTGTGTTTCTTTTGTTTGCATGTTGTGTCTACAAAAAATGCATATTACTATTTATCCCAACCACCTGTCACATATGAGTTTTATGGTGGTATAGCTTTATTTATTCATTCAACAAAATATTTGCTGTGCACTATTGGAAATTTGTATCCTGATAAACCTAATAATATCTTGAGCCTCATCAAACTTGCAGATCAGTCTCAAAAATTTTAGTCTTAGATAAAAGAGAACAGCCTGCTGGGGAAGAATACTGATAAGAACTAGGCAGGGTGGCTTGGGCCCCGTCAGGCAGGCATCCAGTCCATGCAGGTGTTTATTGTGCTAGACAAGAAAACTGAGGCAAAAGCCCAGTTGTGTGGAGTGTCCCAACACAATGAGGATTGTTAGAAAGATCTCTCTGAGAAGATGGTCAAAGCAGTGTACAGGACTCTACCCAGACATGCCAAATAAGCAGTCTGTGGCAATAAAAGTAAATCCACATGACTCCAGGTGGACTTAAGCTTTGTTATATTGCACTCCTCTCTGACAGTTGGGTGGGGCGGAAACTGAAGCTGGAAGACATCCTGTGATTCCAGGTGAGAGGGTTGAAGAGTGAAGAGGCCAACAGCTGACTAGTCATTCATACAGGGAAATAATTTTTGGAGGTTGTTGTGGGGGTGGGGGGGGAACAAAAAGACAAACAGTGTTGGTCCTTATTCTTTTCTTTCTTCAGGCATACTGTACTTTCCTTCCATCTCCGCATCCTTCTCTCTTCACTTGGCTATTTCATGCTTATCATTTAGGGCTCAGATTAGACATTGCCTCCCCCAAATCTGGATAAGATTGTCCTTCCCTGCATCACCTTAGCAACTGTACTTCCTTTGCCCGAGTCCTCATGAGGGCTTTTGTAACTTTCTGTCTACTTGCTTTATTTCCCACAAATAGTATCTGTGTCTTCATTTTATCCTCTGCGTCTAGCCTCCTGCCTGGTATATGGTAAATGATAGATATAAATTAATCAGAGGTGTTCATGGTCTCAGATATATGCATTGTAACTTATGGTACCTGAGTAGGAGTGTATTTGAGTGTGTAACAGTGAGGAGATAATTATCACTATGACATTCTGTTACGATGCCAGGATGAGAACAATAGCTTGGAATAAGGAAATGGAGGAAACACTGGTTGAGAGAAGCATTACTCAACAGATAGATAAAGAAAATTGTAGAGATATGACCTTGTGCAAGTCCTTAACCTCCCAGAGTCCCTATTTCCTAATCTGAAAACAGTGAAGAGAATGGTCATATCTCCCTGCTGGGATTGTTGTCAAGATTAAATGCAATGATGTGTGAAGCACCCAGAATCAGGCTTGTTATAGAGTAAGTGATCAATTATTATTATTATTATTTTTTGCTAAGGAAGATTTTCCCTGAGCTAACATCTGTTGCCAATCTTCCTCTTTTTGCTTGAGGAAGATTTGCCCTGAGCCATCTGTGCCAGTCTTCCTCTATTTTGTATGTGGGTCACTGTCACACCATGGCTGCTGAGGAGTGGTATAGGTCTGCACCAGGGAACTGAACCCACGCCTCTGAAGCGGAGTGCGCTGACCTTAACCAGTAGGCCACAGGGCCAACCCCTCACTTATTTTTTATACATATTATATTGCACTTATTATATATTCTTAGCTGGATTTAAAGAGATAGAATATTGATTCTGGAGCCTGTTTGCTTAGATTTGAATTCCAGTTCTACCAGTTGCTAGCAATGTCACTTTGGAAAAGTAAGTTTATTTATCTTTGAGTTGGGGTAATGATAGCACTTGCCTCACGGGGCTGTTATAAGGATTAAATGGTGCTTAGGAAATGTGCTTTGAGATACTTAGTTATTATTATAGGTAAAAACACTCAAAATATTATGCTAAGAGACAGGCCCTCACCTTTCAGTAGGGCACTTGCAAGAATATTGGCACAGGAGGCCGTTCTGGATTGTGGAACTGTCATCAGCACCAGGACTTAGCCAAAGTTGTAATCAGTCTAGAAGACTTGTTGCCTCTGTGTCAGCTTGAATGTAGACAGTGACCATGCTCAGTAGTTCTATAATATAGCTTTGTTGTAGAATTATGTACTTGAGTCTTTATTATTGCAGACTTTTACAACAGATTTACTTATTTTATAATTACTAAAATTAGTGCTAAAATGAAAAAAGCCACTGTCTAGTTTATGTGAATATATTAATGAAAATATAATAATAATAATAATAAAACATTATATTTAAGATATTAAACTTAGGTTTTATTTAAGTGCTTCCACACACGTACTTTGGCATAGAACCGTGCCATCTATTTAGGCAGTCGTGAGTGAGTGAAGTGATGCTGTGTTAAATTCCTGCATATTTTCTTTTTTTTAAATTAACCTTTTTTCTTTATTTTACTTTCTTGTGCTTTTGCCTTATCTCTTTTTAAGGCCATTGCTCCCCCCCACCCCATCCGCCCTTTACACCGTATACTACTTTTAGACTTTTTTCCTTCTTTCATCCCTTTAGTTGCAAGATGTGCTAGCTGTTCTTCCCAGGCTATACTGCTAAAATAATATGATGTTTGTATTTTTTGACACAGACAAAATATTACATTTACCATTCAAATCCTTCATTTTATAGACCAAGAAGTTGAAGTTGTTGAAAGGTTAAAATAATTTATCAGAATACTTACAAAAGAGCAAACAATAGTGAAGTTAGCATGAAGCCACTGTGTCCCCTGGCTCATTTGAGGGGCCCCCGTGCCGGTGCTATCTCTCCTGTGGGAGGCAGAAGCTATTTACAGTGGAGCTCGTGAGCCCTGGAGAAGGATATTGAGGAGAGTTCTGGGAGTAGTCTAGACAATATATGAGAAGATATAATGAGGTTAGTTCCTGTGGTGCTGACCGTGGGAATGTTCCAGTGTTACAAGTGTCACATTCGTCGTAGATTTCTATAATGCTTATTAACCAGTGATTAAGAGACAAACAGGTGAATTAAATTATGTATTCAACATTCAACAAATGCATATTCGAGTACCTATTCAAAACCAGGCATTGGTCTGGTTACTTGGGATCATAAATGAACAACAGACAAAGATCCCTGTCCTTGTGGAACGTTTTTCTAAAGGAGAGAAGATATATGATGTGTAGTAAACTTAATAAATGAGTAAGTTATATCCCCTTTTGGAAGGTAAACAAGTGCTGTAGAAAAACGAAGCAGAGCAGGCTAAGGGGATTGGAGTGACAGGTTCGGGGAATGGAAGGCAGGTTGTCATATTCAATAGGAGGTCAGGGAAGGCTTCATTGAGAAGGTCGCATTTGAACAAAGAATTGAAGGTTGTCAGGATATTTAAGGAAGTTTAATCCAAATTTCTATACAGCTTTTGATTGTATAGAAATTAGAAAATGAGTAAGGAAATAAAAGTTTATTACTCGTTATCTCTATCTTTTGGGCATTGGACACATAATCCGTAGATACAGATGTGAAGTCTGCTCTATAGGTAAGTAGTAGAATTTCATGGATATTTGTTAAAGACGACTTCAATTTACTAGTATGGAGCAATGCATCTTTCACTAGTAGAATGAGTGTGATAGATACAAATAACCTGCTTAGATGAAGAATTTTAACATCCTCCTTAGTCAGACAATGAGCACAGTCTCTTTGGGAAAAAAGAAGATTTTCCCTTTTAAAAAATTAAATTTTCTTTGGCCTTATAGGACATTATATTTTAAAATGCGTTTGGTATAATCGTTACTGAATATATTTTTAATTATATTTGAATCAATTTTGGTATCTAGTTGCATACGAAAGTGTTATGTTATCTGAGTGAATACAGGGCTTGCCCTTGAGGTTCAGCATCACATTTAAATTGTTTCTTGACACTGGAAGTTATAGAATGTCAGAACTGTTTGCTAATAACTCTGAGCTATATAGCCACATATTCAGCATTCCCAACCTAAGTAACATTACCATTATATTATTAGTATAGGGATTGACTATCATGGTGAGCTAAAACTACTAAGTAATTCAAAAGTCCTACTATGGTAAGTATGAGCCCTGTTAATAGTGGTGGCTGTAGATAGAAAAGCTTCTTAATTTGTAACAGAGAAGAATATTGTAATACACTTTGTTCAGAATTATTGTTATAGTGGAAGTCATGGTCTGTCCCATCTAAAGTGACAAAGTGAGAATTATCTGTTGTTAACTGGGAAGAGAACTTTCAATTTCAGTAGCCATACTCTGTTTTTAAAATATATTGTGGATCAGGTCAGTCAACAAAGAAGTTGAAATTGGTTTCCTAAGACCTCATTTGGTATTGGATCAATGTGGCACTGACCTGAAGATTGTGCTGTATGGTGTGGCAGAAAGAGTATGAACTTTTGAATAAATTTGCTGTATGTATTAGTGTGGTTTTTAAGAAAAGTCGGGAGGAATTCTGAGGATTAAAGCTAGAGAGGTAGGTACAAACCTAATCCTGAGCCTTGACACCCTGATGAGGAGTTTGGACTTTCCTGCAGTTAGCGGGTAGAGGGTATGGAGGGAGAGCTTTAGTCCTAGAAGGGAGGCCAATGGATGCCTCTTGGAAAGATGTCAGGACCTAATCAGACAGTAGACATGGGAATGGAGACAAGTGTATTGATGTATGAGGTTCTCAAAAGTAAAATATTCAGGAGCTGATGTTTAAATTACAGGTGGGCAGTAAGAGAGAAGAAGTCTAGGTTGACTCACATATTGCTTTAACTTGAGGGATGAAGAGCATAGTGATGTCATTTTATGGTCTTAGAAGACCATGAAAACATTGGTGGGAAAGATACCGCATTCAGTACAGCACATTTCTTTTCCTTTACATGTGGGTATGGACTGGATATAGAGTTCTGGAGCTAAGGGAAGGATTTGGGCTACAGATATGGATTTTGGCATCTTTGAGTGGAAGTTGAGGCCAAGGTTATGGATTCAGTTACTAGTAGGAGGCGTAAAGTATAGGCAGAGGATATGGCCAAGGATAAAGCTATGGGAACGCTAACATTGAAGGACAGAAGCTAGAAAAGGGAAACAAGAAGGAATGGTTAAAGAGCTGGGTGGAGAAACACTTCAGTGTAAAAATGGAAGCAAAGAAAATGTTTCAGAAGTTCTTGTTCAAATGTAATTAGTGACCTTTTCCACAGCCGATTTAGTGAAAGGTGGTGTTGCCTGAAAGATGGCTGCAGTGGTTGGTGATTGAACGAGGGGTGAGTAAGAACTGACAGCAAGTGTAAATTATTTCCCCATTTGTTGGGAAGAGAAAGGAAAATTTTGGCAGTGTCCAAAGGAGAATTATAGGTAGTTGTGGGGGTTGGTTTTTATTTGTTTGCCGTCTTGCCCACGTGCACTTTCAGAATGTGAAAGGCTGGAACGTGATTCTGAGTTTAGAAGTCAATCATAAGTGAAAATGCTAGCAAAGGAAGGACTGACAACTAAGCAAGGTCCCAGAAGAGGTGCAAGGGGAGCCTCACCATGTTCCTCTGCCTGTGGAGATAACAGTACCTACCTTAGGGCTGTAAGGAATAAATGAGAAAATGTGTTCTCATTTATCAAATGCCCAGTGATAATAGGCACTCAGTAAATGTTAGGTCCATTCAGCCTCCAAATCCTCACCCCAAAAATATGCCTTGCTGACCTTTTTTTTTGTTTTGCACTTAGCATGTATTAAATGAAAGTATTCAACTGCTCCATGTGTTTACTTAGCCTACATTTATGATAATTGAGATGGTGAACTAGTTGATCTCTAATTCTTAATTTGCGGTCTAAACCTATGATTTGGCTAATTTTTTAAGTACCAAATCTTTTCTGGCAACGTCGTTGATTGTATAAAGCTTTACAAATATAATGCTTATAGTTCCTAATGATAGTGCGGTGTGTTAGAGCTTGTGGACCAAAGTGTTGCTTACAGAAGTGAGAAAGAAGGGAAATAAAAATTCCTCAGACAGTAAGATGAGCACAGAATGAATAAAGCATAGGTGTGTGAAGCCATCTCAAAGTGACTGACTTGCTCCCTGGCCTGAAGCTCTTTGCTAGGACTGGGTTGAAGTATTGCTAGATCTGATGAAATGTGTCCCTCAGGAGAAGAGCTGGTTAACCGTGAATATACACAACAGAAATTCTGCTCTCATTGGTAAGACCATCACTTTTATGAGATGGATAACTTGATTCTCTTTGGAGGTCTTTGAATACTTGAGTCAGTTGATTCCTCTGGTTTTGATTCCTTGTTTGACTTCCCCTTAAGTCTGCCTTTAGGGAGAGAATGGATTGATGGATGAGACCTCTATATCCTGGTCCCTGTGAAGGTTATTTCTCCTCGTAGCTTAATAAGTTGCCATTCTGTTTATGTATATCCGTCTCGGTGGGCTTGGATATAGTGAGTCTGCTCTTGAGAGAGCATTGTTTTTCTAGATTCATAGCCTTCATCAATGTTTCTAATCATGTGAGAGTGAATTCTTCTCTCTGGAGTGTGGTCAGTGAGGAGACACTGCAGCTTTTTCTTTGGTGAACAACCCATCGGCCATTTTTCTACTCGATGCATCGTTGGAGATAAAAATTTATACCATTCAAAGCTCTTCTTGTTTATTCTTTATTATATTAAAAGAGTTTTTTACTACATTTGAATGTTATTCTAATAAAGCTTTTTAGGAGTTATACATCAGAAATAAATTTTTTATGATAGCAAACTACTTTTAGTGATTGTTAGCCCCTGTAAGTGGAGGTCGGTGTAAGATATATAGGTTTGTGTTGTCTGTCTTATTAAATTTAAGGAAAACATGATAAATTCTAGTAATAATTCCTTTGAATTACAATTGTCACATGAAGTTGTTTTGGAAAAAGTGTTATTTATTTCATAATTCTATAAAGTGAATTAGAGCTGAGTTTCCTGAGTGTGGTATATATCAAAACTTTTTCTCTGCCTGATGAAATCATTATTGTAAATCTGTCTAGGCCTGCGTTCTTTCGATCTTTTTTAGATAAACAAGGCTATGAATTTGACTTTCATTTTTAGATATTACTACATTAATATCTTTTGTACTACATGTGAATTTACATATAATTCTTCACTCATTTATTTTTCAAAATGAAAAGAAACTTTATTTTCTCATTTACAGTGGTATTCCATCTGAGTTTATAGTTTTCTATTTTACTTTATTGTTGTTGCTGACTAGTAAGAAATCACTTTAGTTTATTTTCCGTAAAGTATTTTCTTTTAATGCATGGGCGATAAGATTCTGAAAATGTTAGGAATCCTTACATTTTCCAAGTATATGTTCACTTGAGCTGCCAAAAATTTTATGTATATTAAATTTTTCAAGTTTAAGAAACTGAAAGCGTTACATAAAATGTTTTGTATAACTTGCCATTATTTATCTGTATCTATGTCACAGTTTTTAGCTTTGTGGGATGGTTTCTATTGGCCATTTAAATATTCTTTTGCCTAACAGAGCCAGGTTAGCTGCGTTTTGCTCCACAGAGAGAAAGTTCCTGTTAGTCTCTATTCTTTGACCTAGGGAGAAGCACCAAATTAGATGCAAGAGTTCACCACTAAGAAAATCCAAGAGTCTTTTGTCTATGACAACTTCGTGAGTAAAGCTGAGAAACTTGCTATTTTTTTCTTTGACCTGAAGTATAACCCTGCTCTGCACTTTAGATGTTCTGAATATTAATAAAGATCATAAAAAAAATAGACCTATCAGTTAGCTTAAAAAGAGCCAAAAAACCGCAGTAAAATAACGCAGCCGAGCTTTTCTGCAGTTATGAATATTCTGGAAATATCTCACTAAGTTGCGTTAGCTTTTTCAAAACTCTGCAACATGTATTTTAAAAATCTGGTCAGTACTCACATCTCTAATGCATTAGATTAAAACAACGCCTCTTTAAGAGCTAGATGATACTGTGATATTTCACATAAAAACAATATATAGTGAATTGATAGGATGAAATACAGAAACACAGTAATACACATTTCTGAGAAACTTTGTAGCTATGTGAATTGGTGTTGCTGGGGCATACACATTGACAGTAGCTCCTGTGCACTCCTGAGCTGGGGCTGAAGGCCGACAACTTTCTCCCTTCGGCTGATTGATTTTGAATTTTTCAAACTGATTAATGTTTTCATTTGAATGGTAATGCTGACTTTGCAGAAGATGTGATCTTTTAATTAGCAGATGCTGAGATTAGCATTAGGGCTGAACAGTAATTAGCATTTGTTCTTATACTACAAGAGCACAAACTAAGTGGTGCAGCAAATCGAGCTACGTGTCTTCTTTACTTTGCCTCCTTAGATCTTCTTTAGGAGAGAAGTTAAAAATTATTGAGATCCTTAATCACTGTTGCACTGAAAACATTTAAACAAATTGAAGATTCACTTCAGAGGAAAACATTTTCAGTTCCCTTATACTATCCTTATAGATGTAGGATTCTGTTTTCAAGGTTTACCTAATATTTTATTATGGAACTTAAATGTTATTTAGTGAATGGGTGAATTCTTGTTTATATTTATGGGTGCGTACATAGGCACATGTGTAGTTATCTGAAAAAGTCAGAGTCTTGGTTTCCAGATTGTGCTTATTTCAGTAACACCCACTCTTATTTCCAAAGCTATTTTGAGCATCAGCTTAAAATAGATGAGCCCCAACCAGAGACAGTAGAGAGAAGGGGTTAAGAATTGGGGTTCGGGTTCAGGCAAACCTAGATTCAAATCCTTAGTATGCCACTTCCTAGGGCATATTGTTTGACAGTTCAATTCTCAGTGTCCTCATCTGTAACATGAAGATTGTAGTAGAATTCTTATGAAGATTAAAGCTAGTATTTTACATAAAGCACAGCGTCCATCAAATAATGAGTAACTTACTGTTTTTAAAAACCCACTATGTATGTTAAGTAATACTCATTCTTTTTATGACCTACATTTAAGAAAATACAGAAAAATAATTTATTTTAGCTTAGTTAAGCTTAGCAAAAGAAAATAACTATTAAACACCTGTGGAGTAACTAAACCCCCTTAACACGAACACATCCTCTTATGCCAGGCAGGCGGGCTTTTCACTGTACCTTGTGAGCAGCATGTGTGCCGCCTGCTTCCCTCCGGAAGGCCGTAGCCTGTCAGTCACCGTGTCTGTGCCAGCTCTTCTGCAGACAGGAATTCTTACAGGCAGAGGTGTCCTCTCTAAAGCTGCTGCCGAGCGATGTCTGTTTCTGCTTTTGCTTTAAATGGTTTCCACAACAACCAGTAGGGAAAAAGTCAAAGCATGAATGATGAAATATTCATATAAATTCAAGGCGCTTGGTCCACCTCTACCATGTAGGCTACAGTTTTAGGTCGAAGGTGGAGAATGGGGTGATATTTTATAGGGATGCTAAACATGTGGCTGACTGCTGAATGTATATCAAACTTCAGCATGAGACTTTAGCCAGTAGTATTTAAAGAGGAAATTATTGCTGGTTTCTAGTGCCTGGAGAGGCATGGTCCTATATAGACTTTTTTTTTTAAACTAGTGGTGACATTTTAAATAGCCCCAGAGTAAGTGCATTTACATTTGTTACTATGGATGTTACTCTCTCCCAGGAGACATCAAACAGAACACTTAAACCCTGAGTGAGCAGAATAATTGATGCTCTAAATAACTAGCCCCTCTGTTTGCTGTTTGCCCACATAAATACAAACACAGAGAAAGAGTAACAAACGAGTCAAAGTAAATTTCCAGAAAAAAAGCAAAAAGAAAAAAAGCCCCAGAAGAAGCAGCAAGGTATAATGCTTTATTTCTGTGGGAGAGTTGAAGTGGTGCTTGAATATAATGCAATTTTAACATGAAGGGAAGAAGAGAAAAGATTTTCTTTCAGGGTATCATTTCCATTGAAAATAGGTAAAACAAAATATGACATTGAAGTAGGAGAGCTGTTACTTTAGAATTGGGAAATAGTTAAGACATGTTCTTGAGAACTGACTGTTGTAAGTTCATAAACTGAAATGTCTGTTTACTTGAGTGTGTATTTAGTTGAGTATCAACAGATAATAAGGCCATTGATTATTTGGCAACTGCTTCAGTTTTCAGACCTAATTAGTTTGGGTGTTTTCCAAATTGTTCTTGTAAGATTTCCTTATCTGCCCGTCTCTAAGCAGCACCTTCTGTTCCACAAGTTTAGTGTAAAGAAATTCCATCTTTCTTTCCAATAAAGTAGAGCTTAGTTGAACATATATAAAACAGATGTAAAGGTCTTTATCTGTAATTTTTTTTCTTACTGTTTTAGTGCTGAAATAAAATTTCATCGAATAGCTGGCAGTTTTCTATGTTTACTAACTTCATATTTTGTTAGCAGATTTTAGGAAAGTTTGATGGATATATAGAGTTATATATAGATTTTTTGATAGGGATAAATTCATGAGCTACCAGAAGTATCTTCAAGAATGTTCCTTTCTTTCTAAATACTTGCCAAAAGATGCAGTTTTTTGGTTCGCGCATTTACTGGTTTAATGTCGGTTTCGTGAGAGATGTATCCAATTTATCTTGTTCATTGCAAGTTATGCATAGTACTTGTCTGATAAATATTTGTTGAATGGATTAATGAAAGGTTTTGTTGAAACTAATGATAGGTATGATTTTAGTGGTATTATATCTATGCATAATATATAATACTTAATGAGCATTTACTGTTTGGTCTTTGCAACCATTATTTAATTTAAATCATGAATTATGTTCTGTTATACTTATTTTTAGGTGAAAAAACTGTATCTTTATATGCACAGATAAATACAAAACATATATAATGAGAATTTAAATTTTTAATTTAATTTTTTTTTTTTGAGGAAGATTAGCCCTGAGCTAACATCTGCTGCCAATCCTCCTCTTTTTACTGAGGAAGACTGGCCATGAGCTAACATCCGTGCCCATCTTCCTCTACTTTATATGTGGGATGCCTGCCACAGCATGGGTTGCCAAGCAGTGCCATGTCTGCACCTGGGATCTGAACTGGCAAACCCTGGGCCGCCGAAGCAGAACGTGCGAACTCAACTGCTGCACCATCAGGCCAGCCCCAAGAGAATTTACAGTTTTGATAATTTCTAGGAATAATTTGATGAATTACTTAATAGAGCAAATATGGCTCATGTTGGGCCTTAAAGGATAGAAGTAATTTAGAGATGAGATGGATAAAGAGATAGAATGCTTCAATAAAGATGACAAAGACATTTATGATAGTTTTTATAAATGTTTAGGGTAAATGTTATGGAAGAGGCTATGTGGTTCAAGATAGATTCCAAAAGATCTTGAAGGACAGGCTTAGGATTTTTCACTGCATCAGGAAATTGGACACCATGTAGATTTTTGAATTAGGAATCAATATATTGAAATTGCTTTTATTAATACCCATTTTAGCCAGATTAATCTATAAGTGGCTTGGAAATGCTTTTGAAGGAGATTACTTTTTAATTTTTAGGATAGATATTATAAAGGAAATTTTTTTTAAAAATTATGCTTTCTATATTTGATTTTCATAAAATTTGTAGGTTACTTATAAAACAGAATCTGTAATTTGAACTGGAAGTGACTTCTCTTCCACCCTTGTCTGTTTTTTAACCTGGATCTTTCTGAGATTTTTAGTAAGCATCACCATATTTATGACTAGGTTACAGCCTAATGTATAGACTTTTACTTGTGAGGCCCAAAAATACAATTAGATATACCATTTACTCTTAGTATACTTTGAATTTTATATTCTCTTATTTTGCTTAATGATGTACTATTTGAGAGAAGTATGGCTTATATTTCATAATATATATAAACATTAAAAATTATTAAATTTGCTCTGGCATGTGGTCTGATTTAGATATCAAAATATCTGAACATGTAAGGTCTTACTCACCTCTTTCACCTCACTCCTCTTTTCCTGGGTGCACCACTTAGTTGTGATTTTATTTGCTTGATTGTCTGTTTAATATCTAACTCTGCACCAATTATAACCTCAGTGAAGATGGGGATTGTGTCTATTATGTAGCACTGCTGTACCTCCAGTCCCCGCAGAGGACCCGGCGTTTAGTCAGTGTTCAGTAAATATTTGTTAAATGAGGTGAATGAATGTCCTCTAGACCGAGGAAGTTGTGATTCAATGTTTTTTAAACACATAGGATTGTTAGTTGCCACAAGGAAGCCTGTGTACAGCTAGCTGTTAGACCGCTTCTGCAATTTTCTTTTCTTTATTTGTTCTATTATCTCATACATTGATTTATATTTGAATCAAAGGGCATTTACATTATTTTAAACGTTAACTCTCTTATCTATATGTAAGCATAAAATTAGGATTAATGTTTGAAATCCTAAGAAAAACCAGGGCTTGGGTTTATCAGTGAAGAGCTTTCCGGTGAAGCAGTTGCATGCATGTTTTATGAACATTAGAACTAGCAGTGCAGAAAATACATAGAAATTCCCAGCGCACAAGTTATCATTGCCTGAAGGCTGCTGGCTAACTGTTTCCCCACCGCTGTTTAGGAACATGCTCTTATTTCTTGGGTAAATAGAAGATATGTGATGATTTCATTTTTGCAGGCTGTCATACTCTTCATACTTCTTAAACACATCCTTTAATTTTAATATTTTAACATTAAGGAATATATGAATTTTAGGCTTTAATTTGATTCACCAAACAAGTATTGAACTGTGCAAGGCACTGTTTAAAGGGCATACCAATAATGAATTGTTTCTGGCTTTACTTGTCTCACATATTTGTGAGCTAGTTGGGAAATAAGACAGATGCTATAAGGAAGCTACAAAGTGCTATGGGAACATTGAGGAGAAACAGTTTCAACAAGGGACTCAGTTAAGTGTTCACTGAACTAGGTGATGCTAGACAGGAACATTTAAAGATGAGCAGAATTTCAGGAGGTGAATTGTAAAAACATTGGGACCCCACTGTGTGTTTGGTGTAGGGAGTTGAATTTCAAACCAAACAGGAAATAAACACAAGCATCATATAGAAATCAAACTATCTACTTCCTTATTGGGAGATCTCACTTAGAAACCATAGTCTGGACCTGCATCCACAAGAGACTCAGGTCATGGGCCAACTGTGACTTTTTACACTTTTCTCTTGCTAAATTAGAGAGTATAGATGTCAGTGACAGACTCTCAAGGTCCTACCCACCATGTAATCTCTGCTTCTCCTGTGGGCAGCAGTGACTAAGGATTGAAGAGATTGTCTAATGTGTTTTTCTCTTGGGAGTAGAAGTTTTTGCATGAGAGAGGGGATTAGATTTCTCCCAACAGTATATATCTTAATAGAAGTTGGCTGAAGTTTTACATCATACAAACTTACGATATTTAAATAAAGCCTTTTTAGTTCTAATATTGGCTTTTCTTTAAAGCCATTGTTTTGTTTTGAAGGAAAAACTATTTAATATCCATTCTAGTTCCTCCTCCTTCAGAGATGTTTAAGGGGAAGTCATGTTTGTATTAGTGGAAATCTTTGGCAAATAATATTAAAAGGCTATTACGTCTGATTTGTGAATGAAGCCCAAGGTTGCTTTTAATACCATCATCATAAAATAAGTTAAAGGGTATTATTTCACTGTGCAATCTAATAAAGCTGACCGCACTATTAAGATTGATTTAAATTCAATTTTACTTTACGACTAAAATATTTTAATGAAATAATTTTTTTTCTATAGTGAGGGTAAATTTGTATTGGCAACTTTAGATACAATTCGTTGATAGACTGCAAAGATTAGAATCATTTGTTGCTATCCAGATCTACCTAACTTTCCCAACCTGTCATATTTTATAGAGCAAATATTTGTGGGTTATGGACTTGAGTGTGAGACCTTTGGCTGTGAAAGTTTATTAGCTGACTCCAGTTATGCTGATTTATGCGGTAGTAAATATGATGAAAGAGGAAGGATTATGTTTTACTGATCAGAAAACAGATTGGGAATTAGACTTATTTCAGGTCATCCACTCTCTGGGGGATTTTTGTCTTATAAAAATGTTTGAATGATATAAATGCCCATTTGATAGAACAGAAATAAAAGTCACTTAAATAGTGTTAAAGAAGAGTTGCAGAACTTGTTTTTCTTTTTCTGTGAGCCCTAAATAACTATGCAAGTAATAAACATAAAACTGATGTTTCTCTTCCTCTCTTTAGATAGATATAC